CACAGCCTCAGACTATGCAACACCTGCTGCAATGCCCATTGCTTGAAGGCACACATACAATGAAAGATCTTACAAAGTACAATACATGAGCACAAGTATGTGTAACAAAATAGTCAAATGTGGTGTAGAGACATGAGATGAAGATGTTCACAGGTTCAAGTGATCAAATTAACTTTTACTAACTAAATTCATTTTTAGGAAATTAAAAAAGACACTTTGTACACATGCTGCATTTTGGCAAACACCATAAAAAGCTCAAGTGTTTTAATTAATATACACACATTTTGTATATACTTATGAAAAGCTGCCTTTTTAAGAAAGCTACAGAACTTCTCTATCTGACAACTTAGTTTTAGCAAAAAGCTAGGTACTTGTTTGGAGATGCCCAAAGTGTCTCTAATAGTACAGACTATGCCCTTGACTTATGTCCTGGAAATATTATGTACCTGCCATACTGGAAACTTCTATGTAGTCTCAACAAAGTCAACAGATAATGCTGTAATCCTAGCATTAGGTATAGTTATTTCAGGGATAGGTGTCTCTTTAAGCACTGCATATATAAAAAGAGACTGGAGTGTTTTATTATCAATTTTAGAATTAATTTGGACTCACTTTTTAAAATACAGTTTACAAAAAAATACACCTTTTGTACTTCTGTCCAGGGCCAATGCTTTAGTTTACAGTATATTCGGGCAAACTGCCCAGAAATTGAATATGACAAAGTGCAAACACCCCTTTTAACCAGTAGAAGCATTGATCAAATTTGGCAAGAACTATAATTCAAGTGGGGTGGCATTCAAATATTTTCCAGTAGATATCATTATGTTGCTTTTCCCCAGAATAGTAATAAAACAGTGGCACAAAACACTGCTCTCACATGACTTATAACTATACTCAAGTCATTCTTCTCCATCCATTCATCTTATTCCTCTATGCATAACAGTTATAACATTATGTTTAATAACTCCCTCTTCAAAAATCATGTTCCTTTCTGGAGAACACATTATGAATACATAATGAAACACAGCAAAATGTTCTTTATTCGGTAACACTCTACTTGAATTATGTAACTCACTCCTTGTATGTAAGAATATACTCTAAAAAGAAAAAAAATAAGTTGAGGAATATTTGAGTATTAGCCTAAAGCTAGATATGTCTGGAGAGTCTTAGTTTTTATGTTGCTAGTTTTATATATCTACTGTATTTATATGAACAAGTATACATGCACAAATCTATAATAATCTCATCAAAAACTATATCCATTATCTATGACAGGATATTGTGGGGTTTTATGATTCTTATTTTTCTGTAATCATTTCAGCTACATGGAAAAGAGAGTTCTTCCAAATGCTATTTCTCCTGTTCTTCTTGCCTTTTGTTTTTTTTGAGCAGTGGGGCATTCAGTGGTAATGACCAGCAATTCTTCACATTTTCTTTGATGATTTCTAAGGAAGGAAATAATTTCACACAGTTTTGAGTACCCCTCAACTGCAGGTAAAAGAATGTAAGAGCTTGCACTAGTACCAATTACAGCCAATTCTGAACAGACTGACATGCTTTGCATGACTTGCTCTGCCCTTGGAAAAGGGAAATTTTATTTTTATGCTGGTGTCTGATTTGGAAAGTTCACAGGATAAGACACTGGATGTGGTCTTCCTACAGATAAGACACTGATACAGATAATAAAGATTGCTGTAGGTGTCCCTTCCCCTCTGTGAGAGCTTCCTCCCAAACTCTGTTCTGCAGAGCTTATAATGCAAGGCTCTCTCCCTTTAAACACTGACTTCTTAGACTTACACAAATAGTTCCATTGACTTGACGGGGACTAGTCACATGAGTAGTTAGGCAGATTTATAAATAGTCTCAGAATTAAGGCTTAAATAAATACCAGAAAAAAAGAAAATACCATTTTACATTTAATATAAAGTGAACCATCATTTTTTCAACATACCAAATGACAATGAATAATCACTTGTATGCAAGCAGATATTACCTATAATTTTTCAAAAGCTAAATTATAAATAGCCTATGCATTCATAGTTTACACACAAGTTTATTTGAGATGTATCAGCTGGGCTCTTAGTAAAAGACATCTGTGTGCTATGAAAGGTATTAGCTGGGGGCAGTATTGACTGAATTTAATAACAAAACCCAACAGTATTTGGAATCAATCAACATCACAATAAAACAGTGGCAAAAACCATGATACATATACCAGCGGAAGAAGAAAATTTGGATTGCATTACCTCTGAGGACTTGACTGTCATGTGCTACTGCTAATGACTGTATAACTCACTGGTGGTTTAAGGAGAAGATACTGCATTTGGACCTGGGTGGATCCAGAACTGTGGTAAGGGGATGAGGTTACACCTCGTTTGCTGTTGCTCGAATGCACCTTCTTAGATTCTCCTCTGCATTTGGACTCTTTGCTTAAAACAATATTTCTTAAAAGTAACAATGCCTTTGTGATGGCTGCTTTCATAATCAACACTATGGGGACTCCTAGAACTAGAAACAAGAGCTGCTACAGGTTGAGTGAATGAGCTTAGGTGTGTAACAACTCTTACCCTTTGGGTGTGTCTACAAGAGACGCGTTAATGCGCATCAACCTAATTTAACGCACATTATGGACATGTGTTTACATGTGCATGCCCTTAATGCGCATTAAAAATGGTGAAATGAGGCTAACTGAGCCTAAATTTGATACCTGCAAATGCATGTAACAAATTTAGGTGCGATTAGTTAAAGCACAGTAATGCACGTGTAGATGTAACACATCACTAACTTTAGTGCTGGGTCTGCTCAGCCACTACAGGCACATGGTGGGGCTGCAGGAACTTGGCACTAACTTTAGTGCCCAGTCCCTGCACATGTAGACATCTGCCAAAATCACTTAATGCACATTACCTTAATGCACATTACATTTAGTTGCACTTAAATGCACATGTAGATGCACCCTTTATGGATCAGGCAGAGGGGAACACTTGTAATAAGCACCTGTGAGTGGACCAAACTATGCCCTTTGGGTTACTGTATTTACTTAAATCAACCCAGGGGAAAAGACCCCTCATCTTAGATTTGCAAAGTGGGAGGGGGAGGAAGGGAGCAGGATGGTGCTGTGCCTGGGTCAGGGCCAGAGTCAAACTCAAAGGAGCTGCTTGCCTGCTCTGTTTGCCCTCTGCAGTTTCTGTCCCCCCGCTTACTGTCAGGCACAGCTTGGCTTCAGCTTGGGCTAGACACCTTCCCGGGCAGGAAGCACATGGAAACTGTGGAGCTCTGCTTACACATACTCTGTTCTGTGACCCAGCAGGAAGCAGCCCCAGCACCATCTGACAGCTAGAGGGAGAGGGGGAGAAGAGGCAGAGACTGTGAGGAGTGGGGGGAAAGGGGCAGATACTATGGGGAATGGAGGTGAGGGGAAGAGACTGTGGGGAGCTGGGCATGGGGGAGGGCAGGAAGGCTGCAGGGGGAGGAAAGGGGGAGCAGAGGACAAGGAAGCCACCTGAGCCCCGCCCTCAGCTATCTGATCTCCTACAGCCACTGCTTTCTCTGCTGCAGCAGCCATGGGGGAGGGTAAATTTCAACAATCTTCCAGTAATTAGTTCTATACTTGGAAAATTGTAAAGAAATTTACTGATTCTCCATATATAGAATGTAACTATTGAGGGGTCATCTTAAATTCAGGGATGTCTTAGATTGAAGTAAGTGAATTGCTGAGTGATTGCTGAGTAACTGCTACCTGTGCCTGACACAAGCCCTAACAAGGGGCAGAGCCAGTCCAGGTCCAGAAGGGTATAAAAGGAGACTTCCCAAGTGATGAGGGAGCTACCAAACAGGGGCAGCAAACAGGGCAAACAGTATGCCAGCAGTTTGAGGCAGCAAGAGGCAGGAAAGGAGGAAGGGGAAAGGGACGAGAAGCCAGGCATCAGATCCTGCCCAGGGAAGTTAAGTGACCGAGACACTTTGGTTTGCTGAGTGTTGTTTGGTAGACTGTCTGTGTGAGTGAGGTGTTGCTCTGAAAAGCTGAGTGTGTTGCTAGCTGAGTGACTGCTGACTGCTGAGTGATTGCTGCCTCTGCCTATACCTGTGAGGTTTCTGTTCAGACAGGACCGTTCACCATAGAGGCATCCACCCAGGTCCAAGTTTGGTGCTGTGGGGACTGTGGGTTGCAGGTTCCTTCCAGTGACAGCCAGGTGGGGGAGTGCCTGCGGTGTGAGTGGTGTCTCCTGGTGGTGTCTCTCAAGGAACAGGCAAGAGAGCTACAGGACAAGGTGGTAAGGCTCTGAACTGCTCATGGCACAGGATGCTTAATCAATTCAATGCTGGAGGAGACCTCTGGGACTGCAGAGGGAGAACTGCCAGAGGCAGTACTAGAGAAGGGAGAGGACTTGGATTCCCAGAAAGGTGGAAGCTAGAAGCTTGTGACCTCTGTCAGCAAGCAGAAATCTTCATCTGCATCTGCAGCAGTCTGTCTGGAGAATAGCCCTAGCAACAGAGGGCGAGGAGCACGTTCCATTGGTGGAGAAGTACAGGCCAGGCTTCACCAAGGTGGGAAGGATGACCACCACCAAGAAGCAGCAGCAGCAACAGGTGATGGTGGTTGAAGACAAAGCGACAGGTGATGGTGGTTGGAGACTTACTTCTGTGGGGGATGGAGGGAGCCAATTGCTGACCTGACATGTTTTCTTGTGAAGTCTCCTGCTTGCCAGGAGCTTGGATACAAGATGTCACAGAGGTATTACGAAGACTCATCCGGCCCTCTGACTACTAACCCATGCTGCTCATCCATGTGGGCACCAAATGATACTGCCTGGGGAGACCCTGAGCAGATCAAGAGTGACTACAGGACTCTGGGTGCAAAGATGAAGGGGATGGGGGCTCAGGTCATGTTCTCTTTGATCCTTCCAATCAAGGAAAAAGGCCTAGGTTGGGGTGGGTGCATCCTGCAGATCAATGTCTGGTTGCACAGAGTGTCACCAGCAGTGCTTTGGCTTCTCTGACCACGGGACAATCTTCCAAGAAGAACTGCTGGGAAGAGACGGGATCCACCTGACCAAAAGAGGGAAGAGCATCTTTGCGGACAGGCTAGCTAACCTAGAGAGGAGGGCTTTAAACTAGGTTCGCTGGGGGATGGAGACCAAAGCCCTGAGGTAAGTGGGAAAGTTGGAGACCTGGAGGAAGAGCAAGCAGGAGTGGGCAACAGGGGAGATGTTTTCATTCTTCCTGAGAAATCAGGGCAATCAACTAGTTACCTCAGGTGCCTAGACATAAATGCATAGAGCCTGGAAAACAAAGAGGATGAAGTGGAAGTCCTTGCATAGTCATGGAACTATGATGTGATTGGAATAATACAGACTTGGTGGGATAGCCGGCATGACTGGAGCACTGTCATGGATGAGTACAAACTGTTCAGGAAGGACAGGCGGGGAAAAGGGGAGGAGGAGTTGCACTTTATGTAAAAGAGCCATATGTTTGCTCAGAGCTCCAGTATGAAACTGGAGATAGCCCTGTTGAAAGTCTCTGGGTTAGGGTCAGAGGAGAGAGCAACAAGGGTGATGTCATGGTGGGGGTCTGCTATAGACTACCAGACCAGAAGGAAGTGGTAGATGAGGCTTGCTTCAAACAGCTAGCCAAAGTTTCCCTATCACAGGCCCTGGTTCTTTTGGGGGACTTCAATCACCCTGACATCTGCTGGGAGGGCAACGCAGCAGTGTACAGGGAATCCAGGAAGTTTTTGGAGAGTTCTGGGGACAATTTCCTGGTGCAAGTCCTGGAGCAGTCAACTAGGGGCCATGCTCTTTTTGACCTAGTGCTCACAAACAGGGAAGAATAGGTGGGGAATGTACTGGTAGATGGCAACTTGGGCAGCAGCGACCATGAGATGACTGAGTTCAGGATCCTGAGGAGAGGAAGGATGGAGAGCAGCAGAATAAGGACCCTGGACTTCAGAAAAGCAGAGTTTGACTTGGTCAGAGAACTCATGGGCAGCAAAGCTAGGTGTTATTATTGCTACTAATGTTGCACCCTGAATCCTCTCCACAAGTAAAGAACATGGACACTCCAAGTTAACTGTTCTTACTAGGTCCTCACAATGTTAGCAACAGTTCATGGATCAACAGCCTCAGCCCCCAACAGATCTAACAATTTTAGTCATGGATGCATTACTTGCATTCTGTGTTAGTAAGAAATCCTGCTACTTTAGTCCCATCCCCATATATAGAAGCAGATTGATTAGGGTTGCAGAAGTCCAAGCATTAGGAATATTTTCAGTTTTACCTTCTCATCATTATAAATCTCCAGATTATAAACCAGGCAGTAATTAGCAAAATGTCAAATGTTCCATGGTTTCTTGAAAAAAATATTCAGTGGAGAGACTGGCTTTTGATCTGTTTGAAGGGGAAATATATCCAAATTCTGTATGATGGCTCAGCATCTCCACAACGTCTATGAGAAATTATGACACATTCAATTGTTAAGAACTTACTTTTATTCCCTCCAGAATGAGCACTCTCTCCAGACAAGCTGAAAGCTTAATTTGCATTTGAGTAAACAGGCCAATGAAGAACTCACAGTGAGACAGAAAATCAACACATTATTATTTCCTCTTGGGAGCAAAGTGGAGCTATCTAAATGCTTGTCTGTGCCAGTCTGAAGTTTAGAGACCTGTGGTTTTTTAAAACAATGCACTTGCAAAATCATAGCACCCAAAATTTCTGGTACTATACAAGTAAGCCCATTACCTTTTCTTTACTATCTGAAGATGATGGCATAGAAAATGTTCACAAGCAAATATACTTCTGTCCTTCTTACAAAGAAGTAAGTGGGGTCTGGAGAAGAAATGTCCTACCAGTTCTATGTGGGCAGCACATTTTAACATGGTTAATTATGTAAGCTAAGTATTGACACCTATTTCTGACTGTCTGGCACTTTTAAGGGATTACATTGAAAAGCTCAAATTGATTCTCTGTCACACAGACTAGGAATAAAAAAATAAGTGGTAAAGTAATTCCCCAACCCAGTTTCCAGAAGAATAATATTTGATATTTCAATATGGGATGTTTGTGCACTGAAATCATAAAAAGATGCTTAGGCTTTTGTTCAAAGACCTCATTCCTAAATTTATGACAATATAAGACTTCCTCAAAGTGAAATGGGATGTGCATCAGAACATTCACTACAGCAGTTTGGTGTTAGTACTTTAGGAAAGGAATTACTACTCGTAAATGAATAAGATAGAAATCTTTGCTTATGCAGGAAGGAGGGAATAAAGCTGCTCCCTGGGGAAAATCACAAATGACTTAGAGGTGATTGTCAAGAATTTCTTAAGGCAGTATCTTTTATTGGACCAACAGCATAGTTTGGATAGAGCTAGACAAGCTTTCTAATGCAAGACATTCTTCATCAGGCCTTAGGAGTAAAAACCAGCACAGCATAGTAAAAAAACTTTGTAAGAGAGGAGAGAGAAATTTCCAGGGGTAGCAGACAAACAATTAGAAGTTTCATATGTGGAAATAATTCAGAAATCAGGTAGGTTAAGAAGTGCTATAAAGCCAATTGCAGTGTTAAGTCCTTGGTTTTTAGTGTCCAGCCAGGTTATGAATTTTTGTTCCCAAGCTTGCCTTTTAAAAGCGTAGGGTAAATTTCCCTTGAGCAAAGGAAGAGTGAGGTCAAGGAGGGAGTGACTGTTTTGTGAGAAATGTGCTCCTAATGATGTGTGTGTCTTTGTCTTTTTTTTTTCTGAGAGCTCATGCTTGTAAGGAAATGTCACTGTAGTACTTCAGCTAGAAACACTGAACCATTGCAAGCTAAGACACGTGTGTAAGGCAGGGACATCAAAACCATCTGGCTTGATGGGCCAGGTGAGGGGTGCAGGTCTGCCCTGCAGGCCAGATCAGGCCCACAAACCAGCTGCACCTGTCAGAGCATACTTGGCTAGGTTTCATAGTTCCATAGTTTCTAGGGTCGGAAGGGACCTGAGCAGATCATCTAGTCTGACCCCCTGCCATGGCAGGAAAGAGTACTGGGGTCAAACGACCCCAGTAAAGTGGTCATCCAACCTCCTCTTAAAAATCCCCAGGGTGGGAGCCTGCACCACCTCACCTGGAAGCTGGTTCCAGACCCTAGCCGCCCTGACCGTGAAGTAGCGCCTCCTGATGTCCAACTTAAACCTTCCCTCTGCCAGCTTGTGACCGTTGTTCCTGGTCACTCCTTGCGGCGCTCGGGGGAACAGGGACTCCCCCAGCGCCTGCTGATCCCCCCTAACCAGTTTATAACAGGCCACAAGATCCCCCCTCAGCCTTCTCTTTTGAAGGCTGAACAGGTTCAGGTCCCGCAACCTTTCCTCATAGGACCTACCCTGCTGTCCCTTGATCATACGAGTGGCCCTCCTCTGGACCCTCTC